CCCACAGCTTAATTCGATAGCTTCACATGGGAAGAATGTCACACTTTGCCAGTGATATTCACCCTATGGGTATTTTGCTGACCAGTAGTGTTGAAAGAGTAAGGTGGGAGCTAGATTTATTGCTTAAGAGAATAATGATTATATAGGCCTCTAACAGTCACTATTTTGTTCTGTAAATTTTAACCTGAAGATACATGTATTTAGAGAATAATACTGATCATGTCTGGAATGGTTGTATCAACCCATATCTCAGTGTCAAATTATATTGAAGCATCCCAATCTATGTAATGTACATGTGCAACAGTCTTCAATTTTTTTTAAGTAATCAGTATTTGTCATAATGCTTAAAGGGACACTCACAAATCATTTATAATTGAAAACTTCTGTAATTGCTTCTTTTTACCTGTGCATTCCAGCGAAGCTCTCTTTCTTTGCGGTCTCTGGCTTCATCCCTTTGTTTTTGTTCTAGTGAAAATTTTGCTTTGGTAGCCCGATCAATATCATTCAGGCTGTAAGAAAGAAAAGTAGAAAACTGTAGAAAGTTATGATATGGTCAAACCTTTTGTACAACACATTGTAAAATTAAATTACTGATCTAAGAGATTGTCTTATTGGCCACTACTCGTTAATATTTTTAAATCAAAATCTTACAAAATGTAAAATTTCAAATACAAGGATATTAATTTCAAAATAATATTTAATTTTAACAACTTTAACCTTTTATTTTCAGTTTGCATTTTGAAATAAAATATATTACAAAACATATTTTCTGATACTAAGAATTCTCATAGTAATATGTCTGTTTAGATTATCGCATTTCATGCAAAATTTGGCTGGGTTACTTGTACCACTCTAATAATGTATGAAAATGTCTTTCAGTTCCTGTTATTTCAAAATATTCATCATCATCATCACCATGAACTGGCCAGAAATAAGGTTTTACAGCCTGTCTCTCTGTCCAAACATTATTTGTATTTAGTAATCTTTTGTCAACAGTAAAGTGCCAGTTGTGACTGGAAATTTTCTACCAAATTTGTATTATTAAAGAGATGTGCACAAAGGATCAACCTTATTACCACTGTTTTTCCTTATTTCTTTGTAAATTTACCAATTATCACACCAAGGTTATTGAGGAATGAACATATCCAATTCCCTAATTTTTAAGGTTTTCCAGCACCAAATTTAATAGTATTTTTTTTGTGGTTGTTTTTAAACAAGGGCAGAAGGGATGGACCACCCCAGATGACACTAAATAATTTTTATATAAAATTCTGTACTTCAAATGTTTTCAACAAAAATGGCATTTGTAAATTTTACCAACAATAATACTAATAACAATAATAATAATAATAACAAATATAATACTTTAATTAAAAATCTATCTTCAAATTATATTAAATTTTTAACACATTATTATGGTAAAAGGTACTACTTTCATAATTTTCATTATAAAATGTATTACAAATAAATTTCACCCATTATTGACAATTTCTATAATTACTTAATTAAGACCTTGCAAAGGCAAAGGAGCTAAGTACCAACATTTTCGAAAGAAAGATTTTAACATATAAATATTACATAAATCAGTGACAATGCACAGTTCAATGAGCAATGTTCCAAACTCCTTCCAAGTAGTTGTAACATCTACCTAGAGGTGGCCCTGGTTGTCTGTCAAGAATACAACATTCATATGTATTCAGATGTACAAGAATTCGATATTCATACAGTTTTTATTGATTTCCTGAAAAAACAACAATTTTGCCACTTACTGCCTTTGGCTTTTGCAAGGCCACAATTATTGTAACAAAGATTTAAATCAACTATGTCTACCTTTCATCAAAATTTTCCAAAAGTATCCCTCTTTTATGACCTGCTGTAATTTTAATGAATAAACATTACAAATTAACACTAACCCAACAATAGTAGTAGCAGCAGCAGCAGCGCTAACGCGAGCGCTAGCCCTAGCAGTTGCAATAGCAGAGTGGTAATTATAATAACAACAAACAACAACAATAATAATTAGCTGGTAACTGTGGCGTTAATGGTTATGGAATCAGTCGTCAGTGGCAAGGAGGCTTAAGGTACGAGTCCTGTAGGCATGGTTGTATTTGTGATTATCTCTTCATCCCTCAATATCATTCTATAACCTCATAATTTATAATTCAAGGCTTAACAACCTTGTCTTACCAAGGGATACAGCTGGAAAGCTGATCCCCATAACAACACACATTAATCTCTCTGGGATAAATATGACTGGGCCTCGGAAGATAACATGTAGCATGCTTATAAATGGCTGATCCACAAATAATAATAATAATAATAATAATAATAATAATAATAATAATAATAATAATAATAATAATAACAACAACACTAACGGTAGTAGTAGTACAAGTAGTATTGGGAAACTATGAGAAAGGTTATGTACAAAATTTGTTAAGTAATACAATTTAACTCTAATTTAAATAATATTATCTCATATTCTTTTCCTTTAAAACATATTTAAAAGGAATAATTTGTGAAAAAATACATCAATTCTGTTCACTGAATCATGTTTTAAAATTTACATTTTATACCTCAAACCTGCAGTCACTTCCATCCACAAGCGTCGTGATTCATTTTCTGCCTGTTCTGCAATAGGCCGCACAACTTTTTTCACTATAGGAATCTTTTTAACATCCACAAATGTTTCAGTTCTCTGAAATATATAAAACAAATTTTATTAGAAATTGAAACAATGTAACCGGAAAAGAAACGATGTAACGTGAATAAAACCCAAAAAATGTAATTTTTGCTGTAATTACATACCCCATCTGGCCACTTGGCTTCCATTGCACCATTCCATTCTCCATGCACAGTCAGGAAAGGTTTTTTGTCATTAGGTTGAAAAACTTCAGCAGAAATGCGGTTTTTCTTACCACCATAAAAAGGTTTGGTTAAGAATTCTAAATTTGCATAATATCCAGTTTTTACACAATTAATGGTAACACTTCCACCCAATTCAATCCAGGGAACAGTTAAAATTGATCTGCAATGTAAGAAAACTCAATATGTCAATTTGTCTCACTTGCATTTTAAGGACAAACTGAAAAAATTTAAATACAACATTATGAAATTCTTACAAGAATTAATAAAGCGCATTTATTTTCCGCTTAAAAATTTATATAAATTTATTTTCTCATATTATTCCTGGCATACATCGATATATAAATAATTAAGCTTGGAAAGATGTTTTTCAATTTATTTTTTGTGTAATAACACTTATGGTTAACACACACAAAGAAAGAAAAGAAGAGGAAGAGAAGGAGGAAGAACAAGAGGAAGAAGAAGAAAGAGAAAGAAGAAGAAGAAGAAATGAGTTGAAATTTCTTAAGTACAAAGTGTTTATCTCATACCTATCTATTACTGCAATGTAATTCAAATTCAGTTTGGAAACGTTTGTTGTTAATAAGACTTTTTGTTAAGTAGGTCCACAAAGGACCTGGTGATCGACTTTCCTTCAGTATATTCTACACTGTTTACAACATTCAAAAAGAAAAACTAATGAAGCTACAACAGCACATACTTTCTCACAGCTATGCAATATTATAATATTGCACAGACCCCCCCCCCAAATTTCCAAGCTGAGAAATGAACTCAAATTCTAATGTTTACACCTATGCCACCAGACCCCACAGACAAATACAACATCCCTGACCCATTAAAAACAAAGTTGAACATTTGCCTTTGTAACTTTCCAAAATTCACAGACATTTCATTAACAAAAAAATCTCTAGCTTCAATATTGCAGTTGTAGAAAAACACTGAAAATGATAAGTGTGTACATTTTTCGCAACTTTTGCAGAGAGTTCAACAAAAATCGGGCTGTGCTATTTTTATAAATGTACTTTGAGCTACTCCAGAAAAAAACAAAAGAAAAAATGTCAAGCAATTTGATTTATTTATATCATACACAAGAAATTATAAATAATAATTTCAGTATAACAAGATAATAATTGACAAAAAAATATCACTACAAATCAATTAAGTAACAAAGAAAAAAGACATCGAATTCATGACCACATAAAAATAAGAACAACTAGCACTAGAACAATTTTTAAGAAAATATTTTTTTTACTGCCTTTATTTGAAGTAAAAATTATGAGAAAACTATTCATATTTTCAAAAATTGTACAAAACCTTATTTAAAGGTTTAATTTTGAAAATGAAATCTGATTACGGAAGAAATCTCTATCATGAATATAGTAGATTTGGAATTTTTAAAAATTACAAAAGTTCACAAAAAATGGGTCCTGCACCATTTTTTTATGTATACTTTCCTCAATTTGAGAAAATATATATATTTTTGAAAATTGTTTTTACTTCAAACAAAAATTATGTGAAACTTACACATATTTTAAAAAAATTGTACATAGCCTTAGTTCAAGATCTATTTTTTGAGAATATATTTCAATAAGGGAAAAACAATCTCTATCTACAATATTATATTTGTACGAAGAATTTTTTAACTTTTACAATTTTCAAAAACTAAAAAAGTTTAACAAAAATGAAATCTTCACTATTTATTTTACAAATTCATTTCTCTTTACAAGATAAAAATTTAATCCAAAAGATGATTTCAAAAAAATCTGAAAATGTTGTTGAGGCTTCATGTACAGCACCCTCAAAATAAAAATATTCTTTTCGAAATCACAGGGTCTCGAGTTTGGACTGATCAATCAGGGAATGACAATTTTGAAGAAACTTCTCTGAATGGTTTAGGCACTAGTTTTGACCATAGATGGACCAACAGACAGATATTTTGCTGTTAACAGATTTTTTCATAACAAGAATCCCAAAAACATGGATTCTGACTTGAATTTTTAGAGGAAGTAATTTACAGCAGATGAGCAAGATTTATCCTATTTTCTACATCAGAGATCTATGAGGTTTTCTGTTGAAACAAATTACCACTTTCTGGTGTAGCTCCATATTACTTTTTCTTTACTACATAAGCAGGTATTGTTTGTATAAATATCTAAGGTAGCTCTTCATAGTAGAAGAAATTTTGTACAAATTATATCTATGAGAAGAGGGACAGATAAGGTTTTAAGTGCAATTACAAAAAAACAAAAACATAGGACAAGAGAGGAGTACTTGTATAATAAACAACACTGCATCAAGACTGATGAACATACTTCACTCACACTGCTAAGGCGTTTTCAAAAAATATAATCTTTAAAATGTGAGAGAAAAAATATGACTGCAATCAAAAACTTCAATACAAGGTTTTACAGTCAATAACTAATTTCAAATTTTATCTTGCATTAAGCATGACAATTTTGAAGAGTTCATTTATTTATTCACCTGTTTGCAGAGAATAATTTAATTGAATAGATATCAACTATGGAACAGTGTATTGATTATTACAAATCAATTTGAATTACCAACTATATTGTATGGGAAATGAAAAACTTAAGACAACTTTGCAATACAATTTTTTAACATTATCTTTATTCTACACCTCTATTGACCGAACAAAGAGATGGCGTTTCTCTGGCTTTTTATCAACGGTTTACAGTTATACAGATAAGTCTTATTTCCTGAGATAAAAAAAATTGTGTCTTCCTTCTAATGATTTCTGAAATTGTGTTGCATCAAAAAAACATTTTGCAAATGTATTTCAAAGATACAACAATAATCTATTTAAAAGTCCTTTTAGTACAATACTTTTGACAAATTCATAAATCTTCGAAGGTTTTCGAAGTGTAAATAGACTGCTATGTTGACATGTTCAGCAGCAAGCAGAGACTCTGTCATCAAACACTCACATTTTTATTGAAGTAGGATACAAAAACATAATGGAATTTGAAAGTAGCTTACCGTCCGTAGCCATTTGGGAAAGTAACTATGTATTCTTCATCATAATCTAAAACGGATACACAGCCTTGTCCTATGTTATGGACACCAATTGAAAGACCCAGAAATTTAGATTTTGTCCATACATGGGCACAGAAACTTATACGTTTGTTGTAATGCTCTGCGTAGAAAGCAGAAACTGTAACAAGATAATGCGTAAATGAGAATCTGAAATAGAAAATATGCTTACAACTAAAAAACAAGAGAGAATTTGACAGAAAAATTCATCTTCACCCAAAATGAATATCTGTAAATTAAAATATAGAAAATAGACCAATTTTCAGAGTTGTAACAAACAACATTTACATTCTTGGGGAGGGGGGGGGATGAGAAATGTAATATGTAGGTAATGGAACAATAACCAGATAAGCCACACCAGACCCAGCATATCTCCAATTGTTTCAAAATGTTAATATCTTAATTTTGGTCAGTGTGACTCATCTTATTACTGCCACAAGCCCTTCACAAATGTGATCAAGTCATGATACTTAGAAACAAGATAAGCCACACTTTCACCAAAATGGAGATATTAACATTTGCAAATGCTGGTGTGGCAAAAATGTGGCATATCTTGTTTATGTCCAAAGCCCTTCATATACAATAGTAAAATATTAAGTAGTAATAAATGACAAGAAATTATATGTAATATTTTATAATTTCTTTTGCCACACAAATATAATTTTCCCTAAATTATGCCAGTCTAGTGGAATTACATCTGCAATAAACAAAATAATTTTGAAACTGTATATCTTTGTTGTATTTAGGAAACAAGGAAGCAATTGAACTGTATAGGGATTTTTGTGACTCCATTAACTTCACAGTGCTTTCTCCATCTAAGCATACAAAATGTATTACATACTTGGAGGATGATGTGAAACCTGCTCAGCTATGAATGTAAGCTGGTTCCTTGAGCACCAAGGTACAGGGCCATCTGACACTGGTACAGGAGCTTCCTTTGATTCCAGCCCTGGCACATTCCAGTGACATAGAAAAACCTCTCCCAGGACGGGATTGTATGGTTTTTTTGCAACAACACTCTTCCGCCCTGCATGATAAGCAGACATGTACCAGCGCACTACTTGAACCATGCGATCCTTGGGGTCTGAGAAATCAGCAATGCTGTAAACAAAAATATGTAATTAATAATTTAATCCTACCTTACATTATTATGTAATCTATCTTAATGATACATAATTATATAGTAATTCTTCAAAATAAATAAAATGCAATAATAAAATGGCTTGTTAATAAACACTATTCATTTCTCGTATTGACATAACGGAGGTAATCTGATATTCAGATCAGATAGATATATTTATGTACCAGCACACAAGAGAAAGAGAGAGAGAAAGAGAGAGAGAGAAAAAGAGAGAGAGAGGAGAGAGAGAGAGAGAGAGAGAGAGAGAGAGAGAGGAAGTGGAGGAAGTAGAAAACTCTCGAAGAAAATGCCAAGATCATCTTAAGAGAATGAACAATCACTGATGGCCAAAATTAATATGGAAATATAAACCAGCAGGGAACAGAGACGTTGGAAGATCATGAAAGAAGTGGCAACAGCAGTAACCCCTGGATGACTAACTACCAGGAATACTGCCTAATAATGGTTTAGGCTGTTAAGCCTAAATACCTGCAGTTCATGATGATGATGATTAATATACATACATCACTGTCCAATTCACACAGATTTTGTTGTTAATTTGTTTGCAAAATCAGGCCATTTTCATAACTCAGAAGAATGAAGCCTTTTCAGTGGGTACGAACACAGTTTAAAAGCTCAAAAGGACCGTACTAAATATGGACTACATGAAGTTTGTTTTTGAAGTCAGGGTCGTTATTGTGGAGACCAGGATGTCCTGTGAGGCTTCAACGCGAAGTTGCTTTTCCTCCGTTGTGTAATGAAAAACCGACAAGAGTATTACACACTACATCACTCCTATGATGCTTGCCAACAAGACATAATTAACAGACGGGAAAAAATTCACACACACCCAGGTGACCCTGTGACACATGCCCATGTGGAGGTGCTTGGCTCATGCAAGCGCACTTGATGCAAATCTATCAGTTTTATTTTTTTTCGGTGGGGGAGGGGAAGGGGAGAAGAAGAGTACTTGATACTTGCACTAAGCTCATATTCTGCTTCCAAGCAAAAGATTCATCAAATTATTCAGAACAAGTTTAGGAGGCTCAGAGCATCAGTAGATATCACTGCATTGCCCTTGACCACATGTTCTTGGAGTTTGAGCCCCCACGGTGGCAGGATTTTTTTTTTTTTTTTTTTTTACACACATAGGATCTACATAGCTAGGTCGAATTCAACCACTGTCTGGAGGTGGATTCTAGTGGCCAGCTTCTTTGATTGGTAATTTTCCATGGTTTTTCCGACCAACACAAGGTGACTGCTGGAGCAGTACCCAGTACACACAGGACGCAGACCTTGGTCTTCCTTGTCCTATCTTCACACTTGCTTACACACACATACTTTTCCATACACTACAGTACCACATGTCAGGAGCTTAGAGTTTGTCCCGGCTGGGGCAGTGCTGGTGGGAGCTACCTGGCCGGAGAAAACTCCCAAGCTGAAGTGTAGATTGCCACCAGATCACACAACCCAGCAGGGAAAGATCACTGCCACCTCCCACAACAAAACATGCACTACACTCACAGAACCAATGACCTTAGCAGTTGATGTGCCCAGAAACACTAATCAACCAATGCAGGGACTATGACTGGTATAAATAGAAGATGTTTGATACTATGCTTTCTTGGTTATCAGTTTTTGAGCCAACAGCACAGACTTGACAAGAAAGCTAATATCTGCAAAGAAGGGTCTCAGTGACAGGTTAATTTTTGAAGGAACGAACATAGCATGTAGTATTGGCTATCTGAGAGATTCAGCATCCAAGCCCAAGCATTGCCAATGTTTGGGACATCGTACTGTGTCGCCAGCACTGCTCTGAAGAAACTGGCAGTAAGACAGCTGAAATTTTATCAACACTAACTAGAACACAGTGTTTCCCTCACGGGCATTACTTCATTGGCTTTGTGGCCAAGAAAGCCTTTATCTACATCAATGTATAATATTCTAGAATTGATTGTAAATTTTATTCACAATATTTTGTTCAACTCATAATTGTTGTACTTGCACAAAACAACCAGAAATTTACTGAAGATTGAAATAACAAAATTTATTCACTTCATCAATCATTCTGTCAAGGTTTACCTTCTAACATTCCCTGTTAGTTTCCCATAACTACTCTACCTTCCTGATAAATGATGAAATTTGAATAACACATTGAAATTGAATTGAAATAACACATTCCATTTAAAGATAATTCCAAAAATGCTTAATACAAAAACAAAAAATCAACAAATTTATAAAATGTTTCACAAGCTTGTAATCAAATATGCTGTGGCCATTAGACATGGGTCTATTCCATGCAAGCATTGCCTGCAAATATCAAGAAAACATGTAGAAAACTTAAGTCTTCTTTAAAATATTTGTACCTCTTTGGGATTATGCTTTAGAAAATTAGTTTCATTAACAATCACATTTAAATCAAAGTTTAATATGAAATGTACATACCTGACAAATATATCTGGGTGTGCAAAATAATCAGCATACATTTCCAAAAGTGAACGTCTTTCAAGGATAAAAGTTGGGAGAACTACTTTGGTAAGATCCATGCCTATCTTGACTTGGGACAAAAGGTGTGTGACAACAGATCCATGATGCTCCATTGACCCTACTGGAACACAGACTTCATAAAGAAATAGAACAAGAACATCTAGTAATTACACCCTGCACTGAATTTCTTAGTGTTTTATACAGGTATTGGCAAAGAAGCAACATTAGTTTTATTTACTTTCTCATATGCTCAAATAAATATATCTTTGACCCCTGTGAAGAAGCTGATAAGTCATGAATGCTTAAATTTTACACGAGAGCAAAAAACTTTTTTTAACTGAAGTAAATCAGGGTTTAATGATATTCGAACTAAACTATTTGTGTGTAGGTTTCATTTGAAATCATAAATCTCTGATTTACAGCATCAGCAAAAAGTTGTTTTGGGTCTCTCCTGTAAAATTTAAACATTCATGACTTATCAGCTTGTTCACAGAGGTCAAAGATATAGTATATACAAATTGTATGCATAGAGTATCTACTAAAATATACAGTCAACTTTATTTGTAGTGATCCTCGGAGGACTAATATTTTTGGTTCATTTTTATCTGATAATCCCAAAACATAATAGTTTCCAATTACGATTGATTTTATTATTTAGGTACAGTAAAAAATGAAATCACTGCAAATTTAATAATTCAGTATCTTATAGCTATCTTCACATTTCCTTCTACATTGTCAATACACTCTAAATATGTAAGTACAGTCTTAATACTCTTCAACGCCTCAATTTCAAAAGCCACCACAATTATGAATTAGTAAAATTCCAATATCATGATGTGAGTCCTAATCATTAATCAGCAAAGAAACCTGGAACAGGGTTCTCATCTTCAAAGAGATACTTACAATCATGTTCTGAGTCATCCTCATAAAGAGCTGAAAAAAAAAATGTTTATTTTGAATTATGTGAAAATGTTTATATGAATAAAAACATACATCAACATTTAATATTCTAATAATGTTCTGTTTATTTTAACAAGTTTGCTTTCATAATAGTACTCTCTACATATATAGTCAAATTTGTCAACACTTTTCTGATGTGAAACACTAACTTCCTTAATGTCCAATGAATAGATCAATTTACAAGGTATGCATTACTAAAAAATGATGTTGATTATGATGTTGATTGTGATGTTGAAAAAAGTTATTGCATTCTTCTTCTGTTAGGCACTCAAAGTAATTTTTTAAATTAAGTGTTATGCACACACAAGACACAAATGAATTTACCATCATAGTCCAAGGATCCATCATCTCTGAATAGTGTCTGGGACAATCTGGATGGCAACTTGTTAGATGTAATGGAGTCCGTTTGACTTATAGGTGTTTCCATTGACTGTTCCATTAAGCTCGGTTCAAAAGACCTTAATCCCCTGCAAGAAAAGTTCTGAAATATTACCTACATGATGCAAGGCAGTCCATAAAACAAGATGTAATAAATTCCGTTAAAATGTTTGTTAAAGAAAAATAACCAGCATCTTAATAATTCATTCCATCCAAGTATTCCTTTAACTTTTTTCTCTTGAACAACAGAGTGCTCAAAATGATACAATGCATCCAATTCTGTTCAACACATTGCATACGATTATAACAAAAATAAAAGTCATGAAAAATTCATGATTCTTTTGAAAATGCATGAGCTGTTTAAGTTCAAGGAAAAATATGTATTCAAAATGCAAACCTTAATGCAAATAGAACATACGAAACTAGGATTTTTTTATTGACAAATCAACAATACATTACTTTCATCCATAATTTACAAAAAAAGAAATAGATTGTAACCTACTTTTTAAGTAAAATTGGAAATTAATGAAATCTTAAACAATGGCCAAACAATATATTTAATTAATTAAACAATATATTTAACAAAACTTTTAATTAATACAACATGGCAGAAGTACATTACAGGAATGCTTTTGAATTATTTAGTCTTCAATTATTTTTATATAATTATTAAGTCATTTTCACTTTAGTACCCATACCTATATATACCTATCTATATATCTATCTAACTATATATATTAGTTAGATAGATAAAATAGATTGTTCATTATTAGAGTTTGTTAGAGGAGTACTAATGTGAAAATGACTTAATAATTAAATAAAAATAATTGAAAAGTAAATAATTCAAAAGCATTGCTGTAATGTACTTCTGCCATGTTGTATTAATTAAAAGTTTATTTTTATTTCCAAGAAATATTTAGTTTGATTTCGTATTACTACTAGATTTTATTGTATTACTCAATCTAAAGGGGTAACTGAACATAATTCAAGAAGTATAAAAGCCATCTCATAAACATTTGTGTCAGCGGAACCCACAGCAGATGATGTGCAAGTAGTAGTTTCACTCCTGGGAAATGGCCTTCTTAGATGAGCATCAAATGTGCTGAAAATCAAGTACTGTAAAACTCTTGCTTAAACACAAATTACACTGCTTGTTCTTCTGTGGTGGTGTGCTCATGCTCAAGGTCAAAACAACTGGCACTTGGGACTTAATTCTGACATGAGGTAGGGGAATAAATGTTACACAGGCTATTGGCCCAGAGCAGGAAAATGGAATTTAAAGAACTCAATACTGCACTAAAATATTTCTTCTTTCTTTCTCCCATTCAGAAATTATACAGCAGTTTTCAAGTGATCAACAGAAGTTATAATTCATTAGCTAATAGCAGATCTTGTAAATGTGCAAGGGAAAGAAGTTTCAAAATATTTAGATGGATATGTTTATTTTCATACTTTTACACATGCAATGCAATTAATAAAACAAAAGGAAAGAAATTCACACAAAATATTTTTAAATATGCATTACAAATTTCCTCTCATTTATTTCAGTAATTTATTTCTCATTTTAAAGTTCTGTGATTTTTGTAGAACAAATATTAAATTTCACTAATGTCAAATTTTAGACACTCTTATAATTTAATACTATACTAAGTAAAACCTACAGTTGAAGGTGTCGTAACGTAAAGAAAATAAGCTGCTCAGAATAGTTGACATAAAGAACATTACAATTTGTGTAAATAGAATGCAATACATTTTAAATTCCACACAATGAACATTTATGTAAGATAAGAAATGAGGTTAGACCTAAGAAGCAAAATATGGAAGTTGCTTGATGAGATGATATACCTGGATGTGATGTTAAGATGACTTTATATTGAAAATAAAACTGTCTTTAAGAGGAGACGTGCCATAATGATAAAATGAATGTAGACTGAGAAAATATGAAATAGATCATGGAGCTAGAGCAAAATAAGAATAGAAATAATACAATGGAGATTAAATGTTGATACTGATGTGAAATACATGGGAACCAAAATGAAGAATATTGTAGTGAGACTAACGGAACCAAATCAAATGATGGCAGCATTAAAGAGTTTGAACGGAAACATTTTGAATCTTTGTTACACATCACAATAATGTGAATCGTAACAGACAGAACTCTGGGAGAGGTGAACAATTATGTTGAGAAGAATTGACTTTGTTTGAAATGTATATAGAGTAGCACTAATTCATACTAATTCTACAACATGGCAAAATTTAGGGCAAAGTGATACTGTTGGGGTCAAATTGGGTTGGAACAGAAAGGTAAAAAAAGGAGTGTGATTTCTTTTGATTATTTTCAAAGACTTAAAATTCATATTGGTCAATCTTGAAAAAAATAATACTAGAAAATATTGCGATTTATTTGTTTGGAATCAATACAAAAACTCTCAAGATATTTTTATTAATAAGTCTGTTTAAATTTTGTCCTATTTTTACTGAGAGAAAGTAATATATACTTGGATACAAAACACAAAATTTCTTGTTCAGAATGTACAATGAAAAGGAAAATAAATTGTGGGGGGAAAAAAGGGAAGAAAAGGAAGGAAATAATGGATGGAAGCTTACAAAGAACTTAGTGAACAAACAGGATTTATATTCATTGAGGATACTGAACAAAGTGCTGTCACACTCCATGATCTTGGTGGCCGTACTTGATTAACGTGTGTAAGGCTTAACTTTTCAAAATTGAATTCATGCATTTTCTGCGTGTGGGCATTTGCTTGCTTGGTGCTGGTTTTCCAAAATCTTCAGAATCAAAGTACAAATCATCCACACTTGAAAGTGGAAAGAAAATTGATCTAATTGAAATGTAATCAAAATTCACTGGTACTCAGCTTAAAGATTAAATTGCCCGTAAATATGATAATCAATAAGTGCTCCATTATGTAATTTATACACCAAATGATTTTCTTTCTTTTCTTTATAAAAAAAATTATTTTTTTTTAAGTATTAATAATTGTACAAGTAAAGCCTTTAGTATTCAAAAACATTTCACAATTCACTAGTAAAAAATGAATGCTAAATTTTAATACTGAAACTTTCTCTATTCTCGTTAAATCCTCTCATAATTCAAATAATATGAACAGGTAAATTTTAAAACTTAAAATTTCTCAATTCTTATAAAATCCTTTTATAATTCAAACAGAAAAATCTGTGTAAACCAGAACCTGTACAAGCCGGAAACCTGCCTTAACAGGAAAATATATCCTGCCTGTGGAGTTAAATGGCATTTTCCATAGTATAAAACAGAATCTGTTCAATGCGGAAACAGAACGGTTTTTCATGTCCTGCACAGTTAAAAAAAAAAATTCAATAAACAAACAAAATATAAACAACGGAATATCTGTGAAATAAATTCAGTTGGCAGAGACACATGAAATACTCTTATGAAATGAATGCATCTGTAAGTCTGTTTTAATATCTCTGTTCATGTGATATGAGTTCCAGTCGTGCCAACCGCACAATGAAGGAAAGGATCTTCAGCTTTTAGCATAAAATTCGACCTTGGGGTCATTTGTTTCTCAAGGTGTAGCAGTAGGGGTATTCCCTCTCTCCCAGGTCTGAGCGTTGGAAAAGTGTACGGGCCTGGATGTTTTTCACACATCTCCTGGCCCCATGTTGACAATCATAACCCCTTTACAAGAGCGACATTGGTCAAGGCCATGCGAGCGTATCAGAAAGACCTAGTACTCTGGGCTGTGTCGCATTGTGCACTGAAAGAGTCTGCGAGAAGTCTGGGTGCAGTCACTAGCTAGTGAGGTGGTGGGTTTTACAACTAGTTTGGCAATGGTGGAAAAAGCTATAAAACTCAAAATATTAAAATTTTTCAACTTCAGAAAACAATTAAAAAGGTGTTATTAAGAGAGAAAACCAAAAATCAAAAAAAGATGAATGTTGATAAAAATATAATTATATTAGTGAACAAGTTATGAAGTAATCCCTTTCAATTGTCAGAAATAATTATGTTTAATATTAATTTATTGATGATTTCTTCCACAAATAAGCAATATGTTAATATATCTTTAAAATTAAAGTAATGTTACTAGTTTCAGGACAGAAACAGCCCTATAACAAGTGTCGTAAATGAACAACACTGAATGAAACGGAAACCTCCCTAAACCGAATTAATTTTTTGTCCCGATCGATTCCGGTTTAGACAGATTTTACTGTCATATGAACAGGATTAAATATCTTGAATCGCAATTATAATAAACATATTATTACAACCAGAAATGTAAACACAAATATTAAAATTTCCTTCATAACCAATTTTTAGTCTTAACTAATGTAACAATTCACTTCACAAGTAAATAAGTGAAAGAGGTCACTAAAGTAATCAACATCAAAAACATAATTCTTTAAAATTGGTGCAAAGAGTCTGAATATCTTCCATTCTGAAAGACAGTCAGATATTACACGTAACAAAAACCAAGCAAATAATGTATTTGCATTTCAAATAAAATAGTTTTTGTCTGTACAATACTAACTTCTCAATATGACAATTTTAGTGTAAGTATGAAACAAAAGAACAAATGTTAATGAAGCTAAAAGCTAATTTTTTGCAAAAGTTATAACTGAGAAATAATTACGATTCAAATTGTTTACTTACAGGACTTGAAAATGTGTAGGATATTCAAATGTAATGAGTTAATTTGGAAATCAAGGCTACAATTTTGATTTCAAATAATTACCATTAGCCAATTACAAAAATGTTAATCCCTAAAAGTAGATCAGAAAGATCACTACAAGTAGTCAATGTCTAATGATGTAATTCCTGAAAAGCATTTCAGACATTCACTGAATCTCATAAGAAAGAAAAATATTTCCTTTCTGAGAATAAATATATTATTTTTGAGGTCAAGGTGCAATATTTACAACAAATTTTCTGTACTGAAATATAGATAAGTGCTAGATACAAAAGACACAACTGGCTTCAAAATAAACACACCACAATCTCTATGAAATTCAGATAACTTACGTGGGACTTTGCATGCTGACAGGGGTTTCACTAAATTCATTGGCATCAAAGAAATCGTCTTCTTCTTCAGAACTAGAGTAGGATGTCTCAGGTACTCCCAGACTCATGCTGGTACGGTGAGCAGGCCTGCTCTGGCTGATGTCTGTGGTAGAATTCAAATATTGTATATATTCATAACTTTGCTCTTGAACACTTCCTGATTCAAGAAAGACAACTTTTTCATTAACAATGGTCAATGCCAGAAATGACATTTCACAAATACAATAGATTGAAAATTGTAATTTGATTCCTAATACAATTACATCACAAATTTATTTCATCATTTCCTCAACAGAGAAAAAAAATGTTTATTTCTTAAGACACACATTGCAGTATACTTTTCACTAAACATAAGAATGCAGATCAACTTACAGGATGAGTGACTCACTAATGACAAAAAATGTATTGGTAATGCAATTGAAAATTAAGACATTCACTAGAGATGATATTCAACACGTACAAATACACAAGAAATAGTCATCTGATTTGTGATTAAATTAATATCAAAACACTTTTAATTTACATTTCTTTCATTTTCTCATCAGAGAAAAAAATCTACTTCTTAGACATTAATTTTAATTAGCTTTTCACAAAATACACAGCACACAGATTACATTATAAGATGATTGATCCACTAGAGAAAATAAAATGTATTGATGTGGTTATTAAAATTTGAGTAGATTGCTACAGACCACCAAAAGACATTTAGAGTATTTTCACCTTCTAAAGACACCAACAATAAAAAAAAATTATCTTTCATTTTTTAAATGATCATAAACAATGTCATCGAAGTTAGATCTCTGAATTCCTGCAGACATTCTCTGGTAGAAAGTATAACAATTTCATGAAATTATATTTACATTATAATTTACTAAAAATGCAAATAATAAGTTAATAATAATAAATATAATAAAATACAATAATATAACGAATCATTGCAACCGATTATGTCCATTCAGGAAATCTTTATGTAAAAATTCTCATACATACAAATATTGTAGGTATTTATTTGATTTCTAAATAATGAATTTGGAATATCTGAAAATTCCTCACAGGGTCACGCACTACAACAGAATATTGCAACTGTGAAAATATACATTAAGAAAATACCAGTCACTGGATAAGATTTCTACTTCCTAAGACTTTCATAGCAGGGTGTTGATGATTTAATACAAGTGATTTATATTATTGATTTAAATCAAATAATTCACAAAAAAATCTTTGATTTAAATCAAAAATATAATTTATTGTAAATTTTACAAAGAATGATTAAAAATTTTAAGATGATAAAGAAAATTATTTCAAATTATAACATTTAAAGTATTTATTTATTAATAAACAATGAAATATAATAACTTCTTTAATTATTTAATTGTTTATGGAGGAACACTAATTTTGGTGCTTATTCTGTTCCAAGACGATTTCTATTTTTTGATTTGACAAGTCCAAAAGTGTGGAAAAAATTTGTTCCATACTAGCTGCAGATTTACGTATACTAGCAAGGCATAAATATTAAATGTGTGTCCAAGAGAATATTTCGATGTTAACAAATAGCTTTCAAAATAACTATTAGTTATTGCTTGCTCATAAAGTGTATTAAAAATCTTTAACCGTAAAGCATTTAAAATGCTGGACAAATAATTTTCTAAAATTTTCTATATGTGCACTAGCCAAGCCAATTAAACAAGAATTTCCTTGAACTTTGTCTAGTGCAATAGAAATTGGTTTTAAAATAGCTACCAACTCTTCTGCACTTCTTTTAATCATCATAGACATGACTTAATTTTTATGAGACTCATGAGACTTAACTTTTTTTATGTTACTATCAATTTTATTGATTTTACTCAACCCTCAATACTTCAGAACTAGGTTAATGTGGGATAGTCCTTTTTTTTACTGAGCCCTTCAATTTTTGATCTCTTTTTACCAACATAAAAAGTTTACCTAATTTGAATATTTAAATTTAGATCTGATTTAAATTTAAAAAATGAGAATTGTTTTGTTTCAAAAAATCATGAATTTTAGTAACCCTGGTTCACAGGTTTAAAGCAGACTGTAAGATTGTAAGTGTTTAAAAAAAGGGGCTTATCATACCAGTTACAGGGCTTCTACTTGATGTACTTCCACATCTTGATTCAACACATTCAGCACCCACTTCAATTCCAGTTTGAACAGGACTTGTTAAAGGTACAGCATCAGCACCTACATCAAGCACTTCAATTTACTGACACAACCAGAAGTAATACTGTTATGTATCTGAATTTGTATTTTCAACGTGGTGACAAGTGTATTATTAAAACATGTTGTCACAGAATATAGCTTTATGACAATGAAAATTTAAACACAATTTCTTGAAAGATTCCCACTAAAACGGATCAATTACACGGTGGGGAGATAGGTGACAAAGAAAGTATAGTTTTAGACCATATTGCAAGATCACATTTCTCGTACTGTACAGAAAATGTGAGTTCCTAGAATTTATTGTTGTTTTTATTGTTTGATGCTATTGTTCTTTTCATATATTAGTAATAATATTGCTTGTGAATTTGCACGTGCTCACTTGAATTTTGTACAACCCTAATTACAGTTTTAAGCCTATTTTCCAACCTAGAAAACACTGGGAAGATCAGGAACAGGAAGTGACAAGAGAATGCTTGTAAAATTAAAAGAGAGCATAATGTAAAACCTTATAAATTCATGACAACGATGATGATGATGATGATGATGATGATGATGAAGATGATGAAGAAGAAGATGATGATGATGATGATGATGATGATGAGGCCGAGATTTCTAAGCAAAATTGTTTTTAACAAGAAAGTAGTAAAATGTTTATACAAATACTTTTATAAAAATTACTACCCTACTACTTCAAGAATGGTTCTGTCTTAAAAACATACAAAAATTATGGAGCATGCAAAAACAGATGCGTCTGCTGCTGCTGATGATGATAACAGTAAAAAGAATAATAATAAAAATAATAATAACAATAATAATAAAAATAATAAGAAACCAGCCCCATGGCACAGACAGTTGAGGCAGCTGTTGTCTGTGCTGAGGAGGTTGCAGGTTCGAGTCCTGGATAGGCGTGGTCGTATTTGTGAGTGTCTCTTCACCCCTCATCATCATCCTATCACCTCATAATTCACAATCTTGTCTCACCGAGGGATACAGCTGAAAAGCTGATCCTAATAGTTACACACATTTATTGTGTAGAGTGGTAAGGAATTGCCGATACATAAGTAATAGTAATAATAATAGTGTAATAATAATAATAATAATAATAATAATAATAATAATAATAATAATAATAACAACAACAACATCAACACTTGCATCTCTACCACCTTGAAAGCGTTAAATGAAAGAAAGAATAAAACAACTCATTAAAGATTCACGTATGCCCTCTGATAACTGTTATCAATGCACTGAGACTACCGAGCATATTATTTCGGACTATACTGCATTAGCCGTAACTGAGTATAAGACGGAGCATGATTATCCATGCCTAACTTGTCAAGTTGGTGGTTTAGTATTAGGTCATGATACATCATACTACAAGTATATTCCAAAAAGTTCCTCCAAAACAACAGTTATAAACTGTACTCGAACTAAAGTATATGGACATATAGAACAGTCCTCCACATGACCTAAAATCATACTCGGGGATAAAAACAAGAAGAAAGTATGGTTTGTTGATATGGCAGTTGTCGATGCCAGTTATCTTATGAAAGGTATCAGGCAAAGATCCCGAAGTGCAAAGAATTGGCCCATGTCATGAAGTAACAATGGAATATCCTGGAGACACACTGTCCCCGTAGTTCTTTCAGCACTGGGCATCAATCCAAAGAACTTACAGAGTAGTGAAATACTGCATACTGTTGATTCTGAAGTATATTAATACTTATTACATTAAAAATATAAATGTTGATAGCTCACCTCCTTCCTGCTGCTGAATGGGGTGTTTCATATTATCAGTGAATGATGGCATTGGGGCAGTGAAAATACCATTAACAGGATGTGCTGTATTCTACACAGAAAGAACAAAGTGAATTTCAAACATATTTCTCACAGCAACACAATAATAAAATAAAAAAAATAAATAAATAAATTAAAAAAAAAAAAAAATACATACCTTGGCTATTTGTAGTAATACTATGGAATGTTTAATAGACTCAAGCATTTCCTAAAACAAAAGAAAAGTCCTTTTTATGTTTCGAATAGTGTTAATTGTAAATAAAAATATGTTGACTATAATTTTGCTTATAATGCAATATTACATAAAGTGAATTTGTACAATTAGTAGTTATTAATCTAGTATTTAAGAAGTAAATTACTTTTGGTAATTCAACTGTGTCTGATAATTATTAGAAAACAGAAATGGTTTATTTATTTACGTTAAAGCAAACAAAGAGCTGAACAAAAGACCTGGCCCAAAACTACACAAATTTTATGCATAGGAACGTTTTCATATTTCAATCTGAAAGCCTCGTAGTAAGTTTGAACAGCAATGATAAAACCCAATGACAGAACCCAATGATAAAACACTTTATACAAAATTCACTTGCAAAAGTAATTCAAGTAATTGAGTTACTACAACTGAGAAAAAATATACAAACCAAACCTCTATTGTTTTCTTTGCAACTTCTCAAGCATTAAGTACACATAAAATGAGACGTTATGCATTGGAGATTCCAAAACTATACAGAAATGCAATTCAAGAAAAAAAATTATTTACTTCAGCTAATGAGCACACAAGTGACACCATTCAAAGATCCACCAATCAGGTTAAACGCACCATAAACTAGAATTTTATATATTTCAAATTGCACATTGAATGTCCAAGCTGCAATTTTCAATTATTTCTCTTCATTTGTCTCTAGAATAGAACCTCATCATTCTTAAAGAATTCCACCTTCATACTGCACAATCTATATGCTTATTTAATTAATCTAAATGCTTATATTACACATTAATTACACTTCCTAAAATGCTTCTAATTATCAATATAAAGATGGTAAAAATAGATTAAACTTATCACACATTCTTCTAATAAGTGGACATTTTTTAACATTTTTCTATTTCCTGTATAATACCATTGAATGTTCTATTTAACGTCAAAAAATTAATAATCAAATATTATTCAGCAACATTTATTCTTTTAGTAAAGGCACTCAACAGCAGGAACAGGATGATATAATATAAATCTCAGATTCTTCATTAGCACTTTTTCTTTTAAATTTATTCAATACAATAATATGACTGAACATAAGCAATTACATTTGCTTGGTCCCTGATAGACTGACAACGTGCTTTGTCTTCAGGATCTGTCATCCGATCTATTCTAAGTTCCAGAGCCTGAAAAAAGTTTCAACAATTTATTATTCTGTTATATGTAAGAGAATAAATAGAACAAAAAGTAATGTTAAAACAAAAAATTCTTACTTTCACTTGATCAATGATAATTTGGAGATATGCATCTGCTTCTGTTAATTTCTTATCAAAATCTTCAACACTCGGTGCAGGTTTAGTTGCATCCCATCGCATCTGAAAGAAACGTCCCAATGTAGGCCTTTATAATCCTCTAAAAATTTTTAAAACTTACACAAAAAGCCATTAATTGATGTATTCTCCAATAAAATTTGGAAATACAAGGGTAATAAAAATTAAATGGAAGAAAAAGAAATTACTCGGTGTGCATGTCGAAGAATTGTATCTTCTAATCCTCTAATCCACCGCTCACGTTCCTCAGCATCACGGGCTTGGAAATGAAAAGTCTTGCCATCAACAGTAATAGTAAAAGTACTGTCATCCTCATCATCAATGCCTATGACAGCTCCTTTTAGGCGCACACAGCCACGTCTGACACCTCGAATCATTTTTTCCCTTGACTGTAAACAGACATTTTGTTTGTTCCACCATAAGCAAACTAGTGCAAACCTAGAGACAGATCAACACACTGGCAATGCCACAGATGTAACACTTAACCTTAAATAAAAAAGAAAAGAAAAAAAAGGACTGAAAACTGTTTGACACTTACAGTGTAATATGACAGCAAGCCAGCATTATCGTCCAAGACAAACCACCTGTATTGCCATCCTTTCATTACATTTGTCCATTTACTCAAGGAACCTTCCATTGTAGCCATATCTAAATACTTAGTACATAACAAATATCACTATTCATTGCAAGACCATTAATTTTTGCTCGCTACAAGCTACTTCTCGTGATCCAAAATTTATTAATCATTGTTGTCTAGTGAAATTAGGTATAAATATTTAACTACCGATTAAACTGTAAATCGAGAAAGGCATAAATTTTCATCTTCTGACAACACTGTCAATTAGATGTCACAACTTAATCCTACGCCTGTCCTACTCATTCGTAATAATCAAATAATCCTCTGCCGGGGCGTAGCGGAAACTTGTATGAAAAGTGAAGGCAGAATTTCCGCTCTTTCTCATCTCACCAAGTCACCGTCCACCGAGCCGACTACAGCTGACCAATATGTTTCATGTGATTCACTGACAGATAGTGCCCGAGTCGCTTTATACAATCATCTTGTTTTCATCCTGATGCCACTATTTACATATTTGTTATACGATAATACTCAGGGAAATGTCGTTTGTTTTGTTTATGGAAATATAAAAATATGCACCGGAACCGATTTGAAAAGGAATCAGTATTCTTTAGTAGCTTCTGTTAGCAAAAGTAGAAAAAAACTCTCTTCTTCGAAAAAATACAAATTTATTGTTTAACTCTGAACAAATATTTGATCAAGAGTTTTATGATCTAAGTACCGTTCCTGTGAATAGATAGGATTCCAAGATTTACTTCTTTAAAAGTGCAATTCTTTCAGAAGATATCCTCTTTTGTATTCTTTTTTAAATTCTCGTAAAGAGAAAGTATTGTGATACTGGCGATTTTTTAGACAGAAAAACTCGTGTAATAGAACGGTAACTAAAAGTGGATAAATCGTGTTCCTGTTCTACGTAGAAATACATTTCCTCTATCCCGACGTTATAATCCATGCTCTGGGGCTCCATGATATAGGAAAATCGATTGGCGGCAAGACGTGTCGTCGGTCTGTCTGTGTGTGATCAACGCTATCGCCTGCACTGCTCAGAGGATTTTCTTCAAAATAGATTCTATTCCCCCAACAACTGAACGAGCTCCACGCTCTGCGAGAAACGGATATTTTGATTTATGAGGCATGAAGCCTCAATCACATTTTCAAAATTTTCTCAAAAATAGCTCAAAATTTTATTTTTATGAAGGACGTTTAAAAAATGTCGCAGGTCTCATTTTCGTTGAAATCCATCATTTTTTGAAACGTACAAAAGTTCAATTTTCTCGGCGTCTTCCTAAGACAACAACATTGAAATTAGATATTTGTTTCCTTAATGAAATCTGAAATCTGTTCTTGGACAACAAATGCTGAGATAGAGTGATGTACAATTTTTCAAAAATATTAGTAGTTTACGCGCATTTGCGTGAAATGTAGGCAATTTTGAACAAATATTTTATAAAAAATAGTTCCAATATTTTTTTCTTGGATGAAATATTTGACGTTTAAAATTGGCGCAGGTCCTATTACCAGGAGAACTCTGCATTTTCAAAAATTGCAAATAATATTAATAATAACAATAATAATAATAATAATAATAATAATAATAATAATAATAATAATAATAATAATAACAACAACAACATTGCAAAAGTATAACATTGATGATAGGGATTGTTTCTTGAACGAAATCAGTTCTAAAGCTAATGGTGCTACAGAATGGCACGGACAATCCCGTATTAGCTTTCTGTTTCCTTAGGTCTCGGCTAGGTATACGAACTTACCACATACTCTTACCAGCTGTCATCTATCGCCGTCAAAGTATTTTTTTTTATTTTCTTAATTTTTCGGTTTCCTAACTGTAGAACCGAAATATTATTTTAAGAATATTAAAGAACAGAAAATCCTCGTCCTAAATGGCAAATTACTTTGAAGAATTTGTAGCTGTTTAAGCGCTTAAGTTCTACAGTAAATTTGTAATTTGAAGGTCTTTATCAAACAAAATTTTTAGTTTTCAAAAAACTTCACTAGAAGTCATTTGAGGAACTTTAACTCTGTAATTGCTGGAAACGTGCAAATGTGAGAGATATTAAAAGATGTGTAATTTTTGAAAAACAAAACAAAACAAAACGCAATATGTTATATTAAAGAGTGCAATGATCACATTTCTGTTCGAAATGTTTGGAGAAAAAAATGAGAGAAAATGGCGTTTGAACATATCTGAAAATGCGAAATTTTAAACTAGTTTTACATAAAACGGTTGAGTTTTCGAGAAACTTTATATGACATTATTTAAAGCACATGTACTCTCAATATTTTTTTTTTTTTTTTTCAAAATCTCAAAGCCACGACTCGAGCAAGATGGACACGTTTACACCATTATGACACTGTTTCTCGCGTCTTTATCCGTCAATCCGTTAGATGTCGCGTGGTCGCGAACGTAAAGCAGTGCCGGATACGGTCGCGATAATGCAGCATTAGCGGCGCGACTGAGAAAGACACGAAATACAGTGACATAATTTCACTGTGAAGTAGGGCGCAGTATAGTGGTGTTTACAAACGGACGAACAGACGGATTGAATTAAAAAAAAACAAACTTTTTCGGTATCAGGGGACCCCAAATCGTTGAAATCAGGAAATCGATTTTCCGCAGCATTGCATAACTTTCCCTATACTACGTATAATACTAATATACGTACATTTATCGTAGGAGAAAGTAAAAATAGATCTTTAAAATAGGTCAAGTACATTTTTACTTTCTCCAACTTACTAACGTCAAAAGAGAAAGTACTGTAATAGTGCGCCGGAAAACGGCGAATTTTCGACACAAAAACTCTTATTGCCCAGCCCTGGTAAGGAAAAAATGGATAAATCCAGTTGCTAAATATAGAACAAAATTCCTCTAACACGTGGGGTAGCCAGCATCCATGTTTTGTGGGCCCTTGATATCGAAAAATCTGTAGTCGTTTAACTGTCTGTCCGTCTGTGCACAATAGAGCATAAACTATTCAGCTGATTTTCTCCACAATTGATATTACTCAATCGTTCTAGCTGATGTCGCGGACCGTAGAATTTGAAACCGACATTTGAATTTTGGAAATACTTTACATGAAGTCCCTCGAACATTTTCAAAATTTTCGAAAAATGTCTCCAAATTTTTTGATTAAATTTTGTTGTTGAATAGTGCAAAGAACATTTAAGAGAATGGTTCAGGTTTCATTTTAGCTGACATTCCCGATTTGTCGAAAACTGAAAAAAAAAATAAAACTTCAAAATTGGAAATTGATATTTTGATCTCAGACTGTTGTTCAAAATTAGCTCTAAAAAGGTCGCGTACATTTTTTTGAAAAAACAAGTAGTTTTTGCATATCTGTCGATAACCCGCTGAGGCTGCCGCAGTCCTTCGCAGCTAGTTATTAGGTTACCGCTTAGGCGCTTCTGTGATCCGCAGATCCTTAGCGGAGTGATGGTTAATGACAGGATAAGGTAGGAAATTAAGGATGGAGCGATCCGGTGGAATGCATACTGCCAGGGGAAACGGGAGTATCCCGAGAAAACCTGCCGCGAACCCGCTTTGTCCACCACAAATTCCACTTGGATCCGCCTGTGATTGTAGTCGGGTACCAGTGGTGGGAGGCGTGCAGTCTGACCACTACGCCACGGGCCGCTTCTTTACTTTTTGCTCAATTGGTGCTGTTTGAGCGCGCGCAGCAGTCGGCACGCGCTGTTTTAAAGAGCGCGAGTCAGCAGGAAGCTAACCGCTTCAACTAGCAGCAAGGTGCGGGATCGAGCCTTCGACAGCCCGGGCACGTGTATATAACGAGCGGCTTACCCGAGCAGGCAGAAGCGATTGAGTCCGAGCTACGTTAAATGCATGTGTGTGTGTCTGTGCGTGTGTCTATGTGTGTGTCTGTGCGTGTGTCTATGTGTGTGTCTATGTGTGTGTCTGTGCGTGTGTCTATGTGTCTGTGTGTGTGTCTTTTTTTTTAACGACGGGGGAAATGCATTTATGCTCCCTCGACCCAGACTCTCATGTCCGGGCCGATTCGTGTGGGACTCATCCATAGGTAATACCCACTAAAACCCTATGTCCCTCGCCCCACCTACGGAACCGCCGTCAGGCATTACTTCGTTAGGTGGGGTGGCGGGGCTATTCTAGCCCTCCTCCTTTACGCCTTTATTGGCTTCTACTTCTCGCACGCTCTTCAATTCTGAGGCGTCGCATGACCCGGGCAGCGTACGTTGCAATTGCGGCCCATCTCTCTTCCGTGGTCATCATCAGTGGTATGGTGTTCTCCGGTGTCAGGGGCTGTTGCAGGATTTCCTGCTGCTGGTCTCGTTCTCCTGAGAATCGCAGGCAGTTATACACCACGTGCTCCACATCCTCCTCCTGTCCTGAGCAGGCTGGACACGTCGGGTCGTCATCAAGCTTAAATCGGTGCAGGTACGATCTAAAGCATCCATGCCCCGTCAGCAACTGAGTCACGAAGAAGTCCACTTCTCCGTGAACCCTCAACTCCCACTCGTTGATCCGTGGGATAAGACGGTGGGTCCACTTACCGTTCAGCGTTGCGTCCCAGCGGTTTTGCCACTATCTCATCGTTTCCATCTTCTTCTTCCAGCGCAGTGAGGGCTTCTGTTCGTGAGCCGTGTCTTCCCTGGTAGTAGATCCGTCGGCGCTCGTCCGCCAGAATCTCTATAGGCGTCATATGACACCGAGCGGTACGCACAGGCCACTCTCAGAGCACTCCGACGGTAGACGGATATGGTCCTCCTGGCGTATGCTGCTGTTGCCAGGGCGCTGGCCCAAATGGGCGCTGCATACAGCAGGGTCGAGGTCTAACCACGGTCGCGAGAAGCTTCCGCCTGCTTTGCCTGGGACCACCGGTGTTGTGTGTGTCAATGTGTGTGTGTGTGTGTTTAGTGACAATGGCGCTGATCGCGCCTAAGTACTGTGATTGTTCCTGGATAAACGGTGAATCTGCTTCGATAGGTACTTCTTCTAGCGGCACTAAACTCGGCACCGAATCAGGTTCTTTCTTTTGGCAACTGGAACTTCGGCATTACTTTGTATATGCTCTATAAGAGATTGCCTCGTAAATTGTACAACTAAATAAACTGTGATGTGAAAATCGTAGCTTCCATCTTTTTTCATACATTTTACTGGCGACGAGAGTAAAAATGAGAGTGCATCAGAGGTTGCGAAAGTACTTCAAGATACGCAACAGTAGTTTATGCAATAGCACCTGCAGTTTCAAGAGCAACAAGACGCCAAGCACACGCCAAGAGACACAAATGAAATTAGTAGTGAATTGATAAAAAAAAACAGTAGTTGGAAACAAAGTTACTCAAATTGTTAAACAATCACATACTCAAAGAAAAATAGCAAAGACACTGAAAATCTTGTGGCGTCACTGAATTTTGGTAATTAAAATTTATTAAAAGTACATGTTCTTGAT